ATTCGTCCTGAAACAGAGTAAATTACCTGGAAAAAAACCCTGTACACTCAGAGACCAGTGACATTGGGCATACAAAACTTTGGAAATGGCTGCACAGAGATTGTCTGCACCATGCTAATTTGGCCCCAGCATACGTCTGCCTCACAAAATAAATCTGTAATCACAGGATCGCCTGCAGTTTTTCTCCCACAAGACCTCTGCCCTGCTCAGTCCTCAGGATGGTTCTGCTCACTGAATGCAGCATTAGTCATCATTTCTTTTCATTATCATTCAAGTTGCTTCCCTGTTCCCTCCTACTCTCTTCCCCTTTATTTAGTACGCTCCATCCAACTACTGCCAGCATGGATTACACTGGAAGTACCTAATCTTACTGTCCTTACCACTCTCACAGCCTCTGACGTGCTCAGCCTTACATTTCTGCAAGGCAGAGAAGCGTTCCTCTCCGTGCAGCAGATGGGGGAGGGAGGCTAAAAGAAGCTAAGAGACTTAACAAAGTCATGGAGAAAATCTGCAAGAGCAGGGAGCTGAACATGGGTCTTTGACTCCCAGACTGACCCCCTACCCCAGAGAGATCCCTTCTCTCTCCTGACCTGCAAGAACAAACTCTAATCTCTTCCTGAAATTGTTTCTGCTGTTCATCTGTGGAGCTGGAATGCTTGGCAAGCACTGAATTAATCTTCACAGGATGACTGAAAGAAGGTTTTCCTCAACAGACATGGGAAAATGAGTGAAGAGAAAGTTGAATCTGAACGTCTACTTCTTGCGGGTGCCTGTCTCAAGACTTGCAGGCCCCTGTTTTCCAGCACACTCAGCCCTGTGGGGCACAAGGGTATCTGCAGAGTAATTCCAGCTGGCCTCCTCCTGCCACAGGACACAGAACACAGATCAGACCTCAGGTCTCAAGCTGGGCATCCAGAAATCAAAGAACGCAAACTCAGTTGCCACATGAGAACATTTAGCTTAAGACTCTGGAATAGCATCAAGAAAGAACAGAGTAGTAGAGGCAGGAACAGGATCCAGTTCTCCAGGGCAACATTTAACAGGCTTCACCATAAGACTATTGTGATTTTTCTGCAATTACCTGCCTCATTCACTACACACCTTCTAATTTTGACAAACAAACGAAGTGGAAGTCCTATAGGCAAGAGTCTACCTTACTCCACAGTCCTGGTTCATCCTCCAAACACGCTGCACCTTTGTGCACTGAGGCAGGCATGCTTTGTAAAAAATATGTATGATCCTTCAATTGGATATAGTATCGAGATACACATGTGTAACAGGGGCAAGGCTAAAGTGCAGAGATATTTCTTAAATTGTATGCTAGATTTTGCAGTTAACGAGGACTCTTTAAATATAGGTTTGTTTTTACTGCACTGTATTGGCTCATGTGTCAGAGTCTGCAGCAATATCTGATGCGTAACATGTACGTTGCACATGATCAAAGACTTGAGCGTCATCTTCTTCCCTAGAACAATGACTGCCTAAAGCAGCAGGAGCAGAAATTATCTAAAGGTTGTGTTAAACCAACCTCCTTCTCCCCTCTGGGGAGAGTAAGCAGTCCAGGTGAGCAAGGTAGGAGGGAAGAACAGTCTGCTTTGTGCTAGACGGGCAGAGAGCTCCACATAAAAGCAAAGGAGCTTTGCAGAAGCATGTCCTGACTCCCATCACTGGAGACTTAATGATGGTAATTCCCAAAGGATGATGCACGCTGACAGGCTTTGACACAAACTACCCCAGGATAATATTAATATGTATTAAAGGCTCAGGCAACTTTATTGGGACGGGCTTGATCAGTAACACATTTCAACAGAGCGTCTCTATCATCTGCTGGAACATAAGTAAGGGAGCGAGGGAGAACACACGCACAACCTCACCTTGCTTTGGGTAGATTTTAGAGACAAACAAGGTTGATCTGTGATGAATTGCACGCTTAGCACAGCTCAGACATTGGACCAAGAACCTTGGACACTCCACCACAAGTACGAATGTTACTGTGGGGCAGTTAATATCAGAGTATGTCTGCATGATCAGCACCCTTAACCCTCTAACATGTGGTCAGACACCTCCTGCACAGCCTTTCTCTGTGCATCTGGAACATCTACCCCTTGGAAAGGAGAGGAGAGGTGCTTAGGAGGCAGTGTGGGGGCTCTGCTGTCACAGCACTGGGGGAAGGGGGAGTGGAAGAAAGAACCACGGAAGCCTTTGATCATGTGTAATGTTAATGCAAGTGTTACACATCAGAGACTTTGCCAGGGTAACTAGCATATAAACAGGAGTCTAGTGTTAACAAGGAGGACTTCTTGAATATGTTTGTACATTTCTGAGTCAAAGCAATTTCCCTATTCAACAATACATGACACAGTGGAAGAAGTTCAGAAATAAACCAGCCTGACATGCTTAGACCTTTAATAGAATTTAGCTTCTTAGAACTAATTAAATGTTACTTAAATGGAAAAAAAAAAAAATCCAAGTACTTGGGAAAGGTGCCAATTTGACAGCTCTGGAGAAGGAAATAATCTAATCATCCCCAGAGCATGGGCAGCAGCAGGACAGGCTTCCCCTACTAACATGCCTTGAACATGGCCTGGAAAGACTGTTGATAGAAATGGGGCGTACAATCTCTGTGGTCTAATGACTCCTTGCCTTTTCTGCTGAGACTGCTAAAATGGCTCCCACCGAGTACTAGCTGCAGTGCTGATACGGACACCTGTCTGGTAGGAATGGTGCTGGGACCTGCCAAACTCCTGTCATCTGCTAGCCCTCCACTGGAGCCCAGTGACTCTCAGCTCATTGCTCAGCCTGGGCAGTGGGGGCTGATAGGCTATAGAGCAGCTCTCCGGCCTGTCTCACCTTGGATACACTCCACTCCAGCCCACGAGAAGTAAACAGGAGGTACTGTGTTTAGTCTGCAGGTTTGGGCTTTCACTGCACCAAAGCTCAGGCTCAAGAGAAGTCAGTCTCTGGCTGCTGCAGAGTTGAGGCCAGGATTTTTCAGGCTTTTATTTCTCCCCCAAGATAGGGAAAAAGTCCACAGGAGGAGATACCTGCCATCTCTCTTCCTCTCCATGGTCCCTCCATTTACTTGTCTTTGCAACAAGCCCCTGCATTGCAGTGATCTGCTTTCAGCCGCCAACTCTCCTTGGAACTCATCGCTGTGCCTGGGGTCCCAAGCGAGGGAGGAGGAAAATCCTCTCTGGGCCTTGCTGTGAAAGCTTTGCAGGGCTCGCCAACTCGGCCAGCCCAGGCTGCAAGGGACTAAACCAAATACAGCTTGCCTCCTTGGAAATATTATGCACCACAACTTCTTTTACTTCTGAAGCAAAGCCACATGAACCTCCCTCCTCTGCTCCCAACACCACAAGGGACTGCTGAGCACGGACCAAGCCTCCCATTACATATTAAGCCAAGAGCCTCAGACACTCCCACACGTATCTCACACAACCGGGTGCTCCTCCTGTTGTCCCAGGCTGCTTTTAGCCTCCCTTCCTCCCCCACCCAGTCTGTCCTCCTTCATTCTTATCACAGGATGGGGCAGGAGCCAGCAGCAGAGCCGGTCACATCAGACAAGAAGATCCAATACGTTGACCTTGTGTAGGAGACAAGTGAGGGAACTTGCTTCTCCCTACTGCTCAGAAGCCAGCAATTCTCCACCTCTCCCTCCCACCTAATCCAAAAATCTTCCATAATTTTCAGCACCAAAGTAACAGGCATGGAAGCAACCAGGTTCATAAGGGTTAATATTAGTTACATGTCTGAATGGTGACCTGATTATTGCCATTCTTCACTGTTTAGAGGTTACCTGACTACTCTACACACTAATACATTTTGAGATGTGATGTAAATGCAAACAAACACTCTTATGTTTGGAGTTAACACAGTCACAAGATCCTGTGTATCGTGTGTTGGCAAGCACAGGAACCAACAGCAAATGACCCACCCTTAAACCTGACCCTTTGCTGTTAATCATTACAGGAGTGTTGCACTTCCAGTCAGTACAATCAAAGCATGCAAGCTCTTTGAAAATCCCTATGCATGAGATGATTCTAGCCAAGATCAGCTCCTTTACAAGTCATACAGATTTCAAGGTATGATGTCCTCCAGACGTATGAACATGGGTAGTGGAATGCCTTGAAAACAAGTCTCTGGAAGGTTAACTGCAATGCTAAAACAAAACCCTGCCTTCAAAACAGAAGGGGAGGCAAGAATGCCACAGTAACAGTGCAAGGCAGAGACGTACCGCATGCACATAGTGCCTCAGAGATGGGCTTTTCTGCATAAACACATTCCTCAAAGCTTTTTTATTTTCACAACATGTTTATAACCATAAAGAAATTCAAGGTTAGAATAGCACTATGCCATCATATCATTAGTGCATCACTGCTCCATAAGGCTGACCCTCAACACCAAGCAGATGGGGAATTTCCAAGGAAAATCTGTGATACAGAAAAAAATCTGGGTGCGGAAAATGTGTGGGTGCTTCAAGCAACCATGAGTTTTTGTCAAAGAATCAATAGGAAAGAGCTAAGACGGTAAGAAGCAGTGCTGTCTGTGCTGCTCTCCTGTTAGGGATGATGTAAAACTGAGATCTTGGCTCTGTAGGATCACAGTCCCACAGCTTTCTAGCTCTTCTGCCCTGGCTCCATTCTTGTTTAGGTCATTCCACTCTGCCTCCCCAAATTCCTTTCTGGAAGAAATCAAGAGTAAATACAGCCTGTAAAGTGTTTGCTGACTCCAGGAAATGGACACTACTGTATTCACAGATGATTTGTGAACTTTCCAGCCACTGCTTATCAATTTGAGTTCCATTAATATAAATAGTAACAGTTCACCATTGTTTTTTGAGTCCATAATTACTGACAATATTACGCAAGAGCTATGAGAGATGTTGCAGCAGAAAATACAGGTTTGTTACACTTTTAAACCACGTAAGCTTTTAGCAGGATCATTTTTAGGACACAGTAAAGAAGGAAGGGGGAGAAAAAGGAAGGAAGCGCTCTCACTTGTAACCAAGGTCCATGTGCTGCATAGGGGTGCTCTTCTGTAGCAAAGGCTCCTTCTACTCCTGTTGATACAAACGTGATTGCTGTATCCCCTGTAATACTTTTATATGTAAAGTGCCGTCCATGTAAGAGCCTTCCCCTGGGGAATAAAACATGTGTGTGAATTGAGAGGGTGTGAGCAGCATTCAACAGAATGATGAAGATATATCACTATAGCTTCTGCCATCAGCATGGGAAACCATTTTGAAGGCAGCAACTATTAATTTTTCAGGAATATATGGATGATTTGCTCCACAAAGCAGGTCACAAGCCTCCTTCTAAAGCAGGGAGTTCTCCCTTACCTCCCCCCTTAATCTCAGGGCCTTGTTACAGAACTAGAATACACCTAAATCCCACTGCATGCCCATCCCCATGATGAGGTGCTGATATATGTAAAGGCAGGGGACTGCCAGTCTTCCAGTGAGATGAAAACTGCAGAAGAGAATCCAGGCTCCACTTCATGTGGGAATGTGAAGATGCATTTCTGAGCAGGCTCATTGGTGGGGCCCATCTTATTACCATGACAATACCTAGTAATCCATTGCCTTGGTGCTTGACAAAGGTAACCTGTATTACTTGAACAAAGGCCTAGAAAATATGCATACATGACCATCTATGGTATCATTTCCCTTTTTTTTCATTCAGTGCTTTCCACAGGGAAAATCATGGCTCTAATATTTAGCCTCAGAGCATGTGTGACACGCGTGCATGGCTTCCAACATGCAAGGGGGAAAACTTCAGGTAAGATATATAATGTCTAACAGAGTCACAGTTGCTTGATGAGTTACTGCTGGCCATCTGAGCTATAGTAACTGATCAAGACCACATCTGTTCACACATTTGCGATGTAAAATAAAATACGTTTGTGTTAACTATCCCATTGGTTTCTCAACAGGCACAGGCCAGTGTGCACCTGCTGCTGCTAACTCCGATACTACAGACATGTAACCCATTAAGCTAAAGTAACTCAATCACCTACAGTTATTTGTCTCTACCCCACAGTTCATCTGTATGTTAACAACATTTGCCACAGGTATTTTTAAAAATAGTACTGACTGAAATGTGGAAACCTAGAAAAGTCACTTAGAGTGGTATGCACGGCCTGAACCTTCAAAAGACAATGTGTAGAGTGTGCACGCAATGTTTTATTCCTTCAGTCATGTAAGTGACATAATTTGTCTAAAAACCACACTTGCATGCATAAACTGACTGCAGACAGGCTTTGCACAACCACTTGTGTCTGAGTCCATAAGCTAGAATTAACAACTTAAGGGATTTCTTTGACAGAGTATGTTAAGACATCCCTTCTTTATCACAGAGTTGCCAGCATTAGACTAATAAACCCCCCCCCATACTAACCCTGTCCTGTCTCAGCACTCAAAATATGCTGGAGGACATAAAAAGAATGAGAATCTTACCACGATGAACACACATGCAAAGAATCATCTGTTTCTAATGCGTTTTGGCAAAATATCTCAGCTCTGGTCTTTAAAGACCCATTGCATGCATGTCTGTATGGTGAAACAATACCACAAGGCAAAACCAGCATGTTAGCACAAGCTGAGGAGGAGGATGGCTTCACTCACCTTAGACAGAGGGGAATGAGTGCTCCGGACTCCTGGTTAAATTTCAGGTGTACGCTCTCCAGCTGTCTCGTGCGGATTAGCTCATGAGGAATAATAGCTGCTGAACTGTCGCTTTCTAAACTGTCCTTACGACTTCTAAGAGAAGAGACAAAATGCACATGTTTAGGATCCCAGTGCTGTGTGCTATTTCTGCTGTGTTTCAGAGCAATCATGTGAATATTGAAGGACACAGGACCAAACTGTTACGGAGAGACATCTGAGTTTTTGTCACATCTACAGAGACACAGCCTCCCTCAGACCACCAGTCCCAGCATGCAGCTCTTCATCTTGATTTGATGACCTAGGATCTGAATTTGTGCACACACACGGTGCATCCATTCCCAGCACAGAAGAAATAAAATTTCTGGAAAGAACTGGAGCAAAACAACACTCTCCAAAACCCCAATTCACTATGAAATGGCTTGGAAGAATTACCAGGTGTGCCCTCCCTCCTAGTTTTGCTTTATCTTCAGGATTTTTTAGGCAGTGGCCCGCAGGAAAGAGTTATCCAGTCCCTTGTACCCTTGCTTGAATATCTTTGAGGAGTGAAGCATCCCTACAATTGTCTCCAAATCATTTCTTTGCACAGTTCAACCAAAAGGTTTTGAGAACCTCCACTTCCACCAGCATCAAGTGCAACAGCCAAAAGATGGACTCTGCGTGCGATGAGTAGGACATCTGCAGATTGTTTTCCCTTGTAAGTGGGGCTGCTTTAAGACAATGCAGCTTTGCTTTCTTATTCATTCATTTCTGCAAGACCAGCATATTGTGAACCTATGACTAAAGGTTATGTTGTTACATGATTAGGACCTTTGCCAGACAGAATCCTCTAGATAATCAAACAGGTATATCTCAAAATACTTGACCATAAACACTTTATATGTTCAAAGAGCATCAGCACGATCCCTTACTTGATAGTCCAGAACAAAGAACGAAGGACAGGGGGGTTATGATTTTTGCAAATGACATGGACTGATGTGATGTGTCTGATATGTGATTTATGTTTTTGCCACCTTGCGTTCCATGTGAACTTAACAGAGGTAAGACTTTGTTAAGAGAGTTTCTATAGTACAGAATCACGAGAGGAGGGGGACAGGGAAAACAGGAGGAAACTGAGAGATGCCACATTGCAATGTGGTTCCATCGTGCCAGACAGACCAAAAGCCAAACAAGGCTATCAGGCTGTGGCTCCATTTGGAAACACTGTTAAAACAAGCCTGGATCCTTTCTCCACCCAAGTGGAGCCACCTTTAACATACATCTGGAAACGATTGTAAAGAAACAGCTTGACCCTCACGAGCTGACTTAGATCACACATCTACTTGATTTTACATTTGGGTGCTGTCCTAAAATCACTCCCATCCACCACACACATAGTAACACAGTTCAGTGTGGCTTCCAAAACAGATCAACCTATTGCTTCTGCCAGGTCACCTAGTCCCAGGTGAGCCTTTCACCCAGGCCGTCGAGCTGCCCACTCTGAAATGAGGATACAAGCTAAACTCTGATATCTCGCAGTGCCTTCCTGCAAATACTCTGCATGGCCAGGTCAGAGACATGCAGGAAAAAAAAAACCAGAGCAGCTCAGCTCCCTGCAAGATAAAAACTGTAAAACACATCCCATGTTCTACCTTAGCAACACACAAAAGCAATAATGGACCCAGCAAAGATACAGTAGGTCAGGATATAGCTTATGGGGTGGGCTGATGGACTGACAGTCAGCAGTCTGTCAGTCTGGTGGGTTAACTGAAGCAAAGACACAACATGCTTTGTAGTCTATAGGTGGCACTTAAAGTTGTGTTTAATCTACTTCAGCAAACATTTTACAGCTCTTTGTAGGTGGGGTCTTCAAAGAGTGGAGTGGGCCAGCATTTTGCAGGCTGATTACCTGAGAAGTGCAGTTGCAGTTGATTAATGATCAGTTGACCTTAAGCTAAGCTTTACCTCAACTTCCTTATCAGATCTTATATACACAGTGAGCTGTGGGAAAGTCAGCCTGTGGTCTACGACTTCCAATCATTCATTTATCAATCCCTACCAAAAGGGTCAGCCATTAGCAACACATGATTTTCAAGCAGGCTGTAAGCTTGCACTCGTTAAATACAGTTCCAGAGTTTATGCACCCTGGAGCTGATCAGGAGTTTTGCAGCAATGTTATTGCTACAGACAAGAGACTGTGCCTTTCTCACCTGGACTGCCTAAGCGTGCCCGGCACATCCTATAACACAACCCTCCAGGCAATTGCTGCTGTAGGTTCACGCTTTGGAAAGACAGACAGCCACAGGACAGTACCCCATACCTCTGGGCTCCAAACCCCCTGAGCTGAAGGTGGGTTTTTATGTTTCCACCATGCTAGCCAGTACAGCTGCTAGCACAATGGGGCTGCAGTCCGGAGGGGAAACAGCCTCCGGTTGTTAATGCAGTAATAGGAATGACGACAATATTCTGGAGGCAAGGGGAAAAGCTTTCTAAGTCTTATTAAAAACAGCAAATGCTGTTTGTCATTACACGCTCAAGAGAAGATGTTGACTAATGTGTAACTATCAAACGGAACTGTCATGACTTTAAGGCTGTCAATAATTATGACTTCACATTAATAAGTAACCAGCCCTTCTGTCAAAAAGGTGAAAGAGTGAAGCAAAATGGTAGTTATTACTTTGAATGACATGAAATTATTAATCCTTTCCACAAAACTTTTCCAAAATAGTCACGGTCTCTGTGTTTCTTGTTTCACTTTAGTGGAGCTCACACAATTTCAGCTATTAAGTTAAGGGTGAAACTCCAATAGCAGAAACCAAATAACCTTCTACCTAAGCGATACCTTTCTAAACAGGAGTTTTTCTGCGTAGTCCGCAACACACACATCAAGAGGCCACAGTGGCATCACTTTCAGACTCTGGAACATGTCGCATCACACAGGGACTTGGCAAGACCCATTCAAATTCTCTTTGGGAATGGAAATCCTTGTGCTGACACTTCCAAAGGGTGATGGCCAAGATGAAGGGTCGGCAGGACTTCTAGATTGTTGTTAATAAAAAGTTCACATTGTAGCACACATTGCCATCCACAGCTTGTAGTTTTCAGCCTCAGAAGAAAATGCAGAAAAAGTTTGCTTTCTAACACTAACATCCCTGGTTTTACGACTGTCAGTTACCCATAAGCCTTTGCTTCCTCCACACCGTCACCAAATAAATCAGCAGCAAAAGCCAGTGGAGTTTTACTTGTTATGACTAAGATCTAGCTGACTATCACATAAAATGTTGCAAACTTTGTCTATTCCAGATTTAATACTTCATCCAACCCCCACAAAAAATTCCATGTTTCTCAGTGTCCAGAAAAAACAAGTCTGCAAAAGCCAGGGCTGCTGCATTAGTAAAGGCAGTAGATGTAAATGGAAGCGGCATGCCGGAAATGCCCCAGTTTAAAGGCTGCACATCTCGTGTTTTGTGAAACTGGAGGGGAGTTGGAGGAGATTAAAGCGCATTTCCCTGTGATTGGGAGCTTGTGGGAGGTGTAAACGTGGGCAGTTGTCAGATTAATTCTTTAGATGATTACATTCTTTTTGTTTCTTTAAAGCTGTTTGTAGTTGGGTTTGATGTCTCCTGTTCTGGGCAAGTGTATTGCTGCAGTTACCAAGGTGACTTTAGCTGACTTTCAACTATTTTTTCCAGCTTTGGTTTCTACCAGTAGTCTGCTTCTGGGCTGAAGAGAAAATGAGGAAATTACGTTTGTTGGTTTTTTTAATTTTTAAATCTTGTGAATGCTGATTAACAGTCCATGAACTTAACCAAAGCCTTTTTTTTTTTTTTTTTGAGAGGGAGGGAGGGGTGTTCAAACCATTGCAAAGGTGTCCAATGCAGCCTGCAGCTTCCCCAGACCTCTGTCAACAGGGAGAAAGGGCCGGAGGAGACTACATGTCCCAGCGTGCTGTGCTCCTCGAGGTGAGCAGCCACATGCTGGAACCTGTAGCCTCCTGGGGGCCCTCTCTTTGTATTAAAGATGAGGGTGGCTGCAACCTGCTTAATTTTATGCCAATTAGCAGCAGCCTCTGGGGATCCTGGAAAATTGCCAGTGCAATCACTGGATTGCACAAAGTTTGGATGTCCCCTCCTTGTAAGTCATGTTTATAGCAACCTCTTCTCAAGCAACCCCACTGGCAGTTATTTTATGGGATTCAAGAATAACCAGGTTGATTGGATTAAGAAAGGTTTATTTATTCTTGCATTTGCACTTTGCTTTATGATCAGAGTGCTTGATCTCATGGATCTGTCACGGAAGGAGGTCTCAGTTCCCTTCCAAGCTCTGTCGCTGACATGGAGCATAATTTTGCTGCATTTCCAAGTTACCCTCCCAGGTACTGAAATCACAAAGGACACGCTGTTGGAAGCTAGCCACGGCAGGGGCTCTTTGTAGGAGTGGGTACCCACTGCATCACTAACCCGAGTTACAGCCACTGCTCCTTGCTTCCTCGGTACAAAACCCAGCACCACGAGTTAGCAAATGCAAACCATTAGTGCAAGCTTACACAGCTGGGAGAGAAAGGTTGGACCACTTTTCTTTCTTTTTTTTTTTTTTTTCCTCCTTTCTTCCCTTCCCAACTGTGGCTATTTCAAACCTCCTCATTCCCTAATGAAGATATGGTCAAAGATCACTTAAGTGCCAGCAATCTTCCAGTGTCTTTCCCACAGTTTCCCCTGAAGGGCAAACCAGCAGTTGTGGGAAAGAGCCCTAAGCATCTTGGCACACAGAATTACAGCACACGTCACAGACGCACAGAGGCAAGTGCAGAAACGGGGAGGACATGGTTACACAGCTCCTGCTGTGGTCACACTGAGACAAGGCTAGCTCAAGTGTTCAGACCTGGGTGCTCATCATCCTGGTTAAACCGGACGGTGAAGATGTTCTGTGTGCATTTCCTGGCATGGAAGGGCTCCAAGGACAATGCCAATAGCAACAATCTTCTTGCTGCTCACATATCCCTTCGGAAAGCTGCATAATAACTACTGTCAGTGCTTGCAGGGGCCTGACTGTTCCAGACCTGCAGCTGAACTGGGATTGAGAGATTTAGGCTGTGCCACTGGCACCCTGCAGACTCA